AAAAGGAAGGAAAGAAAAGACAAAATACACTTACTTGATTAAGAAAGAGTCAAAGGAGGAATTTTTCTAGGATAGGGAGAGGCTTGAGCATGTTTTTAGACAGAGGAGAAAGGGCCAGTAATTGAATAAAAATAATACTATTATAAGAAATGGAAGCTTCTTTATTTAGGGAAATTTTTCTCATAGAGTATAAATTTCACAGAGAAATAATATGACAAGTTCAATAAATCAATGATGAAGAGCAATATTTGTATTGAAACAACTCTGGGTGAATCTAATTTATGAAACCACTTACAATTTGGTGGATGTTCTCAGGGAAAGTGAGTGTTTTCTCTATGGGGTGCTTTCAATTTACAATTATTTAATGCTTCAGAAATGAATGTGAACTCCTTGCAAGATATAGCCAAGTGTCCAGGCAGGTTTACCTACATGGGATATCACCTCTTTCCAACAGTGTTTTTCAGTTCTGTGAGAACTGGAAAAACCTTAATAAGAGAAAGAGAGAGAGGAAGAGGGAGGGAGAAAGGAGGGAGCAGTAGAGTGAGAATGTGTGTCTGAACAAGCCGGGCAGTTAGTCCCCCAGGCAGGGCTCAGGCGACAGAAGGGTGCACTGGAGAATACTGATTACCTTGTGGACCCTAAACTATTCAGTAAAGGGGCTGGCAAGTGGCATGGTGGTTATGAGTGCTGAACTCCCACATGGCCAGCTGTAGTTTGAGTCCTGGACCTGGCGGCTTGCTTTCTCACTTTCTCTCTCTCTCTCTGTCCCTCTCTGGTCAAATTAAAATAAATAAATAAAGTTGAATAAAATATTTTTAAAAAATAAAAAGAAAACCCCTTATCTTTAAAAATAAATGGGGGTGGTGGGGACAATGAAACCGAACAAGGACCCCCTAATGTATTTTCTAAGGTTCTTGAAATATAAGGTCCATTTACATTGTAATGGCCCAGAGTAAGGGGTAAGTTTTCAGACTTTGGTTATGATAATGACCAAAATGATCATTTGACCATGAATGAGGGCCAGTTGACCTCTAAAACTCTCACTTACAGGAAAGAGAAGGTTTTCATTGCAATATGTAAGATGTTTTATAGTCTGGAAACTGCTGGTTGTGAGCTCAAAGACTCCAGGCTGAATGGCTCCAGAAACCTGAAGAGAAATTTGATTATCTAAGGCCTCACCAATCAAGAATGCCCAGGAAATGATCACGCCCTCTTGAACCAATCACTGCACTGATCATATGCCTAGAACCTCTGCCCCTAATTTTGCCCTTAAAAACGCATATGGGGAGCACCTCAGAGAGACTGTGTCTTTTCAGCATGAGCTGACCGCTCTCCTTGCTTTGCACTTTGCAATAAAGCTGTACTTTCCTTCATCACGCCACATTCCTATGGTTTGGTTTTATAGCGCTTGGGTGAGTGAACCTGATTTGAGTTCGTTAACACCAGCAGGTGGCATCACGATTGGGGTGCTGGACTCCCACATTGGCCAACCACGGTTCAAGTCCTGGGCCTGGTGTTTTCTCACTTTCCCTCTCTGTTTCTCTCTGGTGAGTGTCTATAAAAAATTTAAAATAATAACAATATAAATAAAACTAAATAATTATTTTTTTAAAAATTGGTAAAGTCAAACAGCTTTTTCCAAAGTGGATAAAAATAAATGTCCCCATAATAGTCACAGAAATGGGAAAAGGGGGAAACGGCAGGAGAATACAGGATACTTTTAAGTAAATGGCTTGATTCAGAACATAGCCACTCCTAACATAATGTTTTTTAAAAATGTGAACCCTTTAGACTGTCAGATACCATTTTGAGTTTTGCTAGAATTATCCTTACACTTGTCAAACTGAAAGTTTAGAAAATGTTAAGAACTACATCGTTATGATTTTGCTGAGAGTTGAGTCTGCAAGTAAGTGAGGAGGTCTCTCTTAGTTCAATTCTCTAGACCGCTCCAATCTTAGGACTTCCTTCTTCCAAAGGCTCTCTGGTCAGTGAGAAGAGGAAGAATTAGAGGAAACCTGCCTTGCTCTACTGCTTTTTCTGGGCTTGGGAGAGCACAGCTCACTTCATTGAAAGCTTTTCTGTAGAATTCTCACTTCCTTCTTGGCCATCCAGTGTCAGCAGGAGAAGAAGCTAAAAGACTAATTCACACAGAGCTGCTAATGACTGATAATTGTTTATTGTGATACCTCTTTGGGCTATTTACATTTGAGAGAGAATTCACAAAAGCATCACTCTGACTCTGAAGGTAGGAATTTAAGTACATCAGAATGGCCCAAGAGAGATGTGTGAAGACTTATTTCCTAGCACTTCACCGTTCTACCTTATAAACAACAGCATACTGTAGTTATTACAATTCTTGGCAGGCTACAAGGCTGTGTATACTAAGAATAATAACCATGTGAGCAAGGTCCCAATCTTAAACCCTACTTAAAAAGAAAATTCTTCATGACCAAAACAAGCAAGATGAAATAATCTCCTTCTTTTAGATTGCTCTCATCACAGATCAGCTGTGACAATTTTAGATGGATATTATACTGAAGAAAGTGTCCATGGAAACTGAATTCTAGGCCCAGCCAGTAGCATGGTGGTTGGGACAGTTGTATCCCACATGGTCAACTATGCCATTGGAGTCACAGTCCCTGCAGCTTGAAGGGCACGTAGGCTTTTCTGTATGCCCTAAATCCTGAGAGGAGAGTGGAGAAAGGCTTGCCATGTGGTCATTCCCTCTGGGGTGGTGGGGGTTTGCTTTCTCCCTTTCTCTCTCTCTCTCTCTCTCTCTCCTTCTCTCCAGCAAGCACACACCCTATAGCAAATTTAAACAAGAAAAGAGAAAACAAAAAAAAAAATAGATTATGTAAAAACAAATTCTTATTCTATCTTCAGGAAATGAATTTTCATTGATGAGAAATTTAGCACCCCAAAGCACGAAAGAAATACTTATAGTCAAGTAGCATCATTTGTAGAAAAGGTACTATAACAACTGTGGGCAAATAGAAAGGAGGACACAGTAAGAAATTACCAAGAAAAGAGAAAACAAAAAAAAAAATAGATTATGTAAAAACAAATTCTTATTCTATCTTCAGGAAATGAATTTTCATTGATGAGAAATTTAGCACCCCAAAGCACGAAAGAAATACTTATAGTCAAGTAGCATCATTTGTAGAAAAGGTACTATAACAACTGTGGGCAAATAGAAAGGAGGACACAGTAAGAAATTACTAAATACATGAAAACACAAGTATGAGAAACAGATGTATTAACCCAGTGCAACTGTGTGTGTGTGTGTGTGTGTGTGTGTGTGTGTGTGTACAGCACATGGTTAAAGGGCATAATAAAGTTATAACACATTGTTTAAAGGCAAAGGCAATAGCACAATAGCAAATCTGTCTTTGCATAGGGCAATTTCTTTCACAATTTTTTTCCATTTGATCCTTACATTCACCCTAAAGCCCCCAAAAACTGAAGTGTAACAGAGATCCAGAGAGAAGAAAAAGTCTATCTAAAGGGTCATGCAGCTGGTGGCCGGTTAGTGGGGGTGGGGGGGAATGGGAGAAAATTCAGAACAAAGTCATTTTGTTTAGCATAAAGGTTAATTTCAGCACACTTTTATGATAACTTCTGTGGAAACTTAAGGTCATTCAAGTTACAATAATTTCTCTCTTACTCTGTGCAAAATATCTTACTTTAATGTAAGTATTCACCACTCTTAGGTATTTAGCCCAGGATAATGTTTTTGTTTTTTTGGTTTTTGTTTTTTTTTTAGAGAGAGAGATTTGCTCTAAGGCACATACACTTGTCGGAGAGACAGAGAGACAGAAAGCAAGAAATGACCCCTCTGGGTGGGATGGCCATGCTGCAATCCCTTTTCCTCCATTCTCCTCTCAGGATTTTGGGCACATACACACATGTTCCTGGGGTGAGTTTTAAGCCACCAAGTCAGGGCCTCAAACCGTGGTCAACTACGTGGGAGTCCAATGATGTAACTATCATGCCATCTGCTGGTTCCAGCCCAGAATAATCTTACACATGTGTGAAATAAGGCATATGCAGAATGTTATTCATTGATGTATTTTAAATTTTTATTTCTTTCATGAGCAAACGAGACAGAAAGACAGGCACCCCTATCAGCATCTTCAGGCCTCTATCCACCCGCAGCTTGGCTATAATGACAAAAGTTTGAAGACAGCTTAAATATTCATCTATAGAGGACTGTGTAAATAAGTTATGGTCCAGCTCTACTATACAATATCAGGCAGTCGTCAAATAGAACATATGGTTCCCTACTAACATGGAGAGGTCTCCGTATTAGTTTCCTAAAACTGAGGAAAGGAAGTACTACAAACCATGGGGCTTAAAACAATATTGTACCACAGTTCTGAAAGCTAGAGGTTCAAAATTAAGGTGGAGTTGGCAAGCACATGCTCCCTTTACAATTGTAGAGAGAATCCTTCCTGGGACCAGCAGTTAGTGTAATGGCTATGTTGCTGAACTCCCACATAGTCTACTGCGGTTCGAGTCCAGGACCTGGTGGCTTAAACTCATGCAGGGCACGTGTGCGTGCCCAAGATCCTGAGAGGAGAATGGAAGAGAAGGGATTGCGGCGTGACCATCTCTCCCTGGGGTGGGGTGAGGAGGATGATTTCTTGCTTTCTGTCTCTGTCTTTCTGGTGAGTGCACATGCCCTATAACAAAAGAAAAAAGAAAAAAAAAAAAAAAGAAAAAGAAAAAACCTCTCCAAAAAAAGAATCCTTCCTGGCCTCTGGCGTTTGACAGCAAACCTAGACATTCTTTGGCTTGCATTGCGTGACTCCCATGACTCCCATCTCTGCACTGTTGTCTGTCATGCGGCATTATCCCTGTTCAGCTCTGTGTTCTCCTCTTGTAAGGACACCAGTCATGTTGAATTGAGGTGCCATCCTTATCCTTATACGACAGTGAAAATTTAACTAATTACATTTGCAATGACCTTATTTCCCAAAAAGGTCTTTTTTTTCTTTTAGGTACCAGGAGTTAAAACTCCAACATCTCTTTTTAGGGAAGAAAATTCAACCTCCAACAATCTCCAAGATAAATGAGGTGAAAAAAGCAATATGCAGGACTGAGTAAGTAGCACGGTACTTTTGTGTAAAAGAAATATATATGCATATTACATAAATGTTGAAAAACTCATTGGAAGATCTCCAAAGGATTCATGAAATACTAGCAGTCTCTGAGGAGGAGAACTGTGTAACTGGTAGAAACGGATGAATCATACTTTTTAGGTATTGATTTTTTTTGTACTTTTGGAATTCTGTTAACTATTTTTTTTTAAATCCCCTTTCACAACTATTCTTCAGTTACTTTGAATCTATTTAACATCCAATTTCCTCAAATATTAGGAGAAGGTATTCAAATAGTTGTTTTCTTTCTTTCTTTTCTGAGCTGCTCTGGCAAGATTAATCAGAGAGGGAATTCATTTCACTTTAAAACCAGTCTAGAATATTAAGTAGACAGAAAAACTACAACCAAGATGAAAGACTGGACTCAGAAACTGCGTGATCAGAACCTGACACTAAACAAATACGTACAACAAAAGCGAATCTGGATTCTCCACCGGGATTATTGTGAATGTGAGAGCAAAGTAGAGGCCAGGGTAGGCATGACCAGGTAAGTCTCGTAGGTGTGGCTTGGTGTGTAGTATTTCCCAAACTGCCATCCTAAGAATCATTTTTTCAGCATACAGATTCCTGTGCCCCTCCTCTGGAGAGTCTGGTTTGATTTCTGAGGCTCTGGCCATTAAATATGAGTGTTTAATACATGCAGAGACAAAGTTTGACAAATACTGAAGAGCAGAGAGAGAAATGAGAGAAAAGAACACTTAACAGCAATCTTTCGTGTTTTCTCTTTCTCTACCTGATTCTGTCTTAAAATAAGCCCAAGTCCTAAGGATCAGCAAGTTACTCAGTTCAGAACTGCATGCTTAGATGACCTATTTTATGCTACACCATCCCACTGTTATTCTTGAGTCATTC